TGCCTCCGCCTCCCAAGTAGCTGGGACCACAGGCGCCCGCCACAATGCCTGGCTATTTTTTGGTTGCAGCCGTCATTGTTGTTTGGCGGTCTGGGGCTGGATTCGAACCCGCCACCTCAGGTGTATGTGGCTAGTGCCTTAGCCACTTGAGCCACAGGCGCCAAGCCCACTCACACTTTCATATGAAGAGTAGATCACAACTATGGCCCAGGATGAAGGAGGGGGGTGATGGGAGAGGTCAGATCGAGGGAGGGTGAATGGTGGGATTACACCTATGGTGCATATTGCCAGGGTACATGTCGGATCTATGAGTATAGAGTATAAATGTCTTAACAGAATAATTAAGTAAATGAGGTGAGGGATATATTAACTAGTATGGTGTAAGCATTCCAAATTATATATGAAATCAGCACATTATACCCCATAAATGCATTAAAGTATCCATGATCTACCTCTTTATGACTTAATAAAAAAAAATAATAATAATTAAAGTACAAAAAAATCTAAGGATTACATATAAATGCAAAAATACAGAGGGTGCCAAAAAATGTATACACATTTTAAGAAAGGAATAAACTATGTTAAAATTGTAATATTCAATATATACCAATAATAAAAGATGAATCCAAGTCTTATTGAGGACTTCTTCTCAGTGCAGAAGTCAAGTATTAGAACTTCAGTACAGTTTTTTTACTTTCTTAAAATGTGTATACATTTTTTTGGCACCCTCTGTATGTATCAAGATAAAATGATACACACAGAATGATAAACATGGTTGAATGTGATAACTTTCTAGGGTCAGGGCAGCAAAGAGATGGGATGGAGAAGCCAGAGACGGTGTGGTTTGAATTAAGTTGTTATTAAAATCTTGGCTTTTATTTTGCTTTTTCCCCTGTTTGCTACAAAAGTGTCACTATTGCTAAAACCATTTTTAGTTCTTTTCTTTAGAATAAATTTTAGAGCCAGTTTGAGTCACACACAAATATTGGTCACATTGCTTTATAATTAATCCTAGGTTTTCATTGCCTTCCAAA